GGGAAGCTGGACACTTCCCCGCCCACTGATGCCCTGCACCAGGCCTCCTCTCCTGCCCAGAGGTCGGAGGAGTTCTAGGTCCTCTCTCCCAGGGTGACTGAGACTGCGGGCAAATTCTCCCGGAGCTGTGAGCAGAGGCGGAGGAGCTGGGAGTAGCATGAGGGTGAAGACGGCCAGACCAGGAGCCCCACTGGGTCCAGGAGGAACACAGAGCAGCTCCCTCCTCTTGGAAAACCTGCCCTCCTACCGCCCCCCCCCCAGTCTGCTGCCTCCCTGCTGGCTGCTCATCCTGAGAATCTCAATCTGAGAGGAACTGGCAGCCCAGAGGTGGGACAGGAGCTCAGCAGACTCTTTCCCCAGTGTGGCCCCAGCTTTAATCAGACATGGACACGGGGATCAGCACCATTAAGACCCCCAGGCCAGCAGCTCCCTCTTCTTTATCTCAGGGGATCAAGCTTCCTGCCACCTCCCCTGGGAGGCCTTCCCAGGTTTCCTCAGACAGGCCCCTTCTTCTCTGCCCTCTTGGGAAACATTCTAATCTCCTATTTCTTCCCCTCCATTCCCTCCTTGAGGGCAGGGGCTGAGGCCTCCCCTGGTTAAAGGAGGCAGGCAGAGTCAGAAAGGTGAGAGGAAGACACCAGCCAGAAACTCTAAAGCCACACCCTCCAACACACCCCCACCCTCAACGCCCCCAACACTGCTTATGTTCCACGGATGGAACCACCTACTTGGAGACAAAGCAAGAGGGTGGAGGAATGCCTGGCAGCTGGGTGCCTGCCGGACAGAGCTCCAGCCTCGGTGCTCCCAGCTCAGCTACTACCTCACCGTGGGGGCCTGGGCAATTCCCTGGGCCTCAGCTTCTCCATCTATAAAATGGACTGTCCCTTCCAGCGCTGAAATCCTACAACTGATCAGCCAAGAGAGGGAGTGGGAAGAGCTTGAGGTTCCAAGGGCTAGGCTCTGTCTCCTTGAGAATGGCCACCCCCCCTGCCCCCATACCATTTATACTCTGGCCTTGGACTCTGCCTTGAGGCCTCCCTGAATGCCTGGCCAGATGTCCAGAGCTGAGCTGCTATATTCACAGCGGAAGGAAAAGGCAGCGACTCCGCAGCCCTCTGCTCCAAGCCTGACTCAGCAGCATGCTTGCGGAAGGGGAGTGGGGAGGAGGGTCCTAGCCCTGACTAGGCCTCAGCTGCCTGCTGCAACTAGCAATGATGACAACAGCAGCTGCCTTTTAACCAAGCACCCACTGTGAGCCAGGGGCTGTGTACTCAGCACTTCCTAACAGCACTGGGAGGTGGGATCTGGCTCCTCCCCCACATACACACAAGGAAACTGAGGCTCCAAGTTCACCCAGACAGGAAGTGCTGGTGCATGGATTCAGGAAGGGCACCCCACCCACCGCCCCAAGGCACAGAGCGAGGGTGGCCAATGCTGAGCATACCTGTAAATGGACACGTTCTCAATGAGCTGGTTGGTGATGTTGTCGGTCAGGATAATCCCCCGTGGTGACACCTTGAGAGTCACTTTCTGCAGCTTCTTCCCGCTGGCCTTTGCCTTGGGGCAGACATGGGTCAGAGAAGCCTGCCTGCCTCACTTGGGAGCTGCTCTCATGGGCTACACCTAGCTGGTCTAAGTCCCAGACCTGAGGCCCATGTGAGGTCTCAGAGACGGCAGACAAACCGGGGAAGACATTAGTCAACAATGCTCTCTTCTAATAAACACAGGGACAACTGCTGTTCATTAAGTACCCACTGTCTGCCAGACACTGGAACTTGAGTCATCTTATAGGCAACAGAGCTCCTCCCGAGGAGGAAATAAATGAACTCAGAGAGGTCAAGGGACCTGCCCAAGGACACACAGCTAGGAGGGACTTCAGGCTCTGAGTGCTGAGTGGGCTATCTCAACCCAGCAGGATCACTCCTGGGGACTCTCCACTCTACCCACTGCACCTGTGAGGGTCTGAGCTGAGGGGTCTGAGACCACCAAGGGAAGAGCATTTCTAGGCCACGTTTACTCAGGAGGGGGAGTAAGGCAGTGGGGAGATCTGGTCTCTGGTGGGCTACCCTGTCCCTCAGGCCACAGGGCAAGTGGTTGGGTGACAGCAGCCTCCCCACTACTCCTTGCACTAAGTCACTAACCCTTAGGCAGGGGACCCGAGTTGGGGGGAGGGGAGACTAGGAGGGGCCATGGCCACAACAACGGGAGAGGAGGACACTGACCCTGACCCCACAGGCCCAGTGGCTCCTGTCTACCAGAGTCCTTAGGCCAGATGCAAGGGGACTCAGGGCAAGAACAGCTCAGACGCATCCAATCAGGGGAATGAGCAGGGGATGAGTGGCACCCCAGGAAGAAGCTGGCCCTTGGCTCACGGCTCCCCCACCCTGATCGGGGCTCACCGTGGCCACAATCCTCTTGACGGCAGCAGCCGACAGCTCCTCGCCCTTGGGCTGCTCCACCAGCGTCATGCCCAGGTACTTGAGGCTGAAGAGCATCCCCTCGAGCAGTGTCTCCCGAGTGTCCGTCCAGTTCTCTGGCAGCTCTGGGCAGGACGGGGACAGGCCTCAGACCCTGTCCTTCCGGCCCACATTTCCTAGGAAGACCTAGCAAGGCGCACTGGGGTCGTCCATCTATCATTACTTTTTATCTATAATAAAGGAATAACCCACCAAGCACCATGGCAAGAAGTCTTACGTAAAATATTCTCATTAATCCTTAGGACAACCTATGAGGTAGGACGCTTTTATCATACCCACTTACAAAGACACTGAGGCCCAGGGAGGTGAAATCACCCAACCAAGTCCACTGAGCCAGCAAGTACAAGAGCCAAAATCGGAACCCGTATTTTCAAGTTCAAACTCTTTAACACAAACTTGCTGAGAGCAAACTATGCTATTTTCTTCCTGAATCTTTCATACAATCCTGTGAGATGGATTTTATCCTCACCTTACAGATTAGGAAACTGAGGCTCGGAGAGGCAAAGTCATCAGACAAAGTCCACGTGCAGTGAGTAAAGGGCTGGAGTCAGAACAGAATTCAAACCTGGGCGGTTCCATGGCCCCAGCCTGCTCTGCATAGCCGTAGAGAGGAAGAGAGGTGCGGTTGTGGTGGGGAGGGAGTGGTTTCTCAAATGACATTGTATGAAGGCTGCCTGAATCAGCAAACCTGGGTTCAAGTCTAGAGCAGGGCACATGGGAGGGGTCCTCTGAAAACTCTACCCACAACTGAGGTCAGGAAGGTTGGAAAAGGCCAGCTCACTGGGTAGGGGAACAGACTGGGAGACAGAACTGGAAAAGCCCCTACATAGCCCTACTCATGTGAGAGAGGACCCTGGTCAGACAGAGGAACAGGAGGGCAAGTGTGGTCTTCATGAGTGGTTTGAACCATCCCCAGGGTTCTTCCTTAGCAGCTCAGGCCCAGAGGCACCAGATCACTCAGCAGGGAAGTAATGAGGACCGAAGAGGAAGGAGGTTTCTAGGAATCCTTCCAAGCCCAATCAGCAGGACAAATGAACACTCCACGATCCTGTCAGTCAGCATCTCTGATGCTGCAATGGAGGAGGTATTATGATTTTACCCATTTTACAAATGAGAAAACTGTGAGCTCTTCAGCTCACACACAATCTAGGACAGGGCAGGATCCAGACAGGAATCAGTTTCCAGGGTCCACCACAGAGATGGCCAGGGCCAGCTTCTCTGGACTACTTTTTGGGAGAGGAGCTAGGACAATCCTGTGCCCTCCCCGCTCTTCCAGGGGCCCTCAGTGGCTCTGAAGGAAGAGCCATAGGAAGAAAGCTCAGGACTGGGCATCGCTGGTGCCAGGGCAGTGGGCCCCACCTACAAAGCACAGCAGGTTCCGGGGTTCCTGTGCTACTGGGCCCAGCTGGAAGCACTGGGTCCTCTACCCTGTCTGGGCCCATGCTGCTCCTTACAACAACCGTCCTGGAGTTCTAGTCCTCCAGGGGCTCTGCCTCCTTCTCCAACAGCCAGAAGGAGCCTTGTATACCCATATCTCTCTGGGTTTGATTTGAGCAGGCCACTGTCCCTTTCCGAGACTGCTTCCTCATGAAAAAGAATTGTTGTCTAACAATAACAAAGCAGCTCTTACCATTACTTCTAACATTCACAGCTGCCTTGCAAGCAGGCATTCTTTCATTCCGGTTTCACAGAGGAAAGGGAGGCTCAAAGGACGAGTAATTTGTCACAATGGTTGACTCTCAAGTTCAAGCTCCTGACCATTAGCAGATACTAACTTCCCATGAGGCAAACTACCTTCATTTTAGCAAAAGGTTAGGAGGAAGTTCCTAGAGCCAGAGATATTTCCTCCCACAATTCCTAATTCCTTAGGCTTCCTCTCTGTAGGTACTCAGAACAGCACTTTCAACCCAACATGCATCTAAGCAAGAACGGCAAACTACATGTCGCCATGCCTATCACTAGTGTCCTTGGCAGACATTGCCAATCAATCGCAGCGCTATTCCCTCTGATTTACAGGCTTTGGACTGTTTCTCAATACAAGGCTCCAGGCAGGCAACACTAATCAATCAGGGGTGGCCTTGTTCATCTGCCTATCCACCCCTGCTCTACAGCAAACATCCTTGCTCCCCCCATTCTTATGTCCCTACTCTCCCATTTCCTCAGGCTCAGCCTTTCCTGGCCCCTCTCCAAAGCCACTTCCGCTCCTTCCATTCCAAAGGGCCAAAGCTTGCCAAGGTCACCGATGACCTTTTTGCTGTCAAAATATTCCCCAGTCCTCCCTGACCTCTGAAATGTTTGTCATAGTCTGCATTCTTCCTTCCCTGGCCTGACCCTTCCCCTATTCTACGGCCTCCTGCATGAGGAGGGCCCCAGTAGACTGGTTGCCACTCATCAGCCATGGAGACCCTTTGCCAGAACTCCTCACATGACAGATGATGAAGCTGAGGCCCAGAGAGGGATGGGACTTGTGCAAGATCACACAGCAAGTCAGAGCTTTCTCCCCCTGCACCCCCACCCCCACCCCAAGCTCCTAATCTACTACAGGCAATTCTCACAATGACTACTGGGGAATGACAGTCTCCTCTCCCACAATATCCCTGCGTGCACAGACAGGCACATGCACACCCAACACAGAACACACACACGGAAGCTCCAACCATGTAGAACTTCTTCCTCCTGATGTAACATTTACTTTCCCACTCCTACGCCTTTGCTCAAGTTCCTTCTACCAGAAATGCCTTTCCCTTCGTTTGATTGAAACCCCTTGCATCCACCCTCATCCAGAAGCCTTCCTTAAGGGCAAAGGCCTTAATCCTAGAATCCCAGTTCTGACATTGAGTGATCTTGAACGAATCAACTCCCTTCCCTGAGCCTCAGTTCTCTCATCCATACAATGGGGGTAACAACAGTCCCCAGCTCCACAGGGCTGCTGTTTCCACCCTCTGGTGAAATAATAATGAAATTATTAAATCTAATGTGCTTAGCAGAGGGCCTGCCCATGGTCATACCTCCTGATGGGGCCTCATCCCTCCTGTCAGTGGGTTGCCTGTGCCTCTCTCGAGCGTGGACTTCCTTCTCCTCCTCCTACAGCCACATCACCCATAGCCAGCAGCTGTCTTCCATCTGCCTTCTTGAAAGACTTCCAGTCATGTCTGTCTCCCTCAGCAACTGGAAACGGTGAACTCCTGGCTAATGTTACTTGCTCTGCTTCGTCCTTGTCCCCGTTCCCATTACGCTGCCCTCCCAGGCCCAGCAAGATCCTCCTTCCCCTCTAAGGAGGGAACCCTGCTTCAGCTCATGTACTTCTTCTTTTTTTTGAATGTTTATTTTTGAGAGAGAGACACACAGAGCAAAAGCGGGGAAGGGGCAGTGAGACAGGGAGACACAGAATCAGAAGCAGGTTCCAGGCTCTGAGCTGTCAGCACAGAGCCCGACGCGGGGCTTGAACTCATGAACCACGAGATCATGACCTGAGCTGAAGTCTGACGTTCAACCCACTGAGCCACCCAGGCGCCCCCTAGGCTCCTGTCCTTCTAGGTATGACTCATCTTTTCAATATAAGGTCTCCCACACCCTCCCTGAAGAAACCAACACGTAAGAGCACTGGATAAAACAAACACAGAGTTCATGCCTGCTCACCATCCAGAGACTAGAGGCCACATGCTCCTCCCTAGGAAGAGCCTGGGACTTCAGGAAGAACTCCCAGAGGCCCCTGGGCAAATACAGGCCTGAGTCCACAGCCCTGTTCCGGTCCTGGTTATTTTTGGCCCTGTGGTGGGTAATGACTGTGCTATTTTAACTTAGCAATTTTACAGATGACCCTGCTGTCAGAGTTGGCTGGGGATGGACCATATGCCCAGTTTTACTTGCGGCTGCAAACGTGTGCTCTTTCCTCATTAAGGTCCCCTGCCCAGGATTCAGAGCTGGGCGAGGGGACCCTGTGCCCCTTTTGCTGCCCAGGAGACCCAGCCTGGCTGGTGTCTGGAACATCAGAGTTACAGCCAAACCCAGGGGCCATGGGGGAATCTCGAAGGGCCTTGGCCTCCAGCCTCCTCCAGCCTGGTGGGGAGATGGCCTCAGAAGCCACAGAGTGACATCTCAGAAGGGGACTCAAGCTCTGCCATGACCTGGAATGCGGTTGCTTCTCTAGGCCATAGCCTTCTTGTCTGACAAATGGGTTCAGTCCCTCAAGAGCATCATTCAGAAACGGGTTCAGCATGTAAAAAGTGCCAGGCAAATTTCAGAAGTTGTTAAGATTATCCAAAGAAAAGTATTAAATGATAATGGCACAAGCTCTCACTTCCTAGGCACCTCCTTAGTCTGTAAGAGAAAAGCATGCTGTCAAGGTTAAAACCATGGGGTCTGGAGATGGGCTGTGGGCTTCAGTCACGCCGCCTCCCTGGTCCTCAGTTTCCTCACTTAAAAACTGGGACAAGAAGCATGTCCACCCCGTGGGGTTGCTGTGAGGATGAAATGAGTTCACATGCCAGGTGGGCTTAGAATCATGCTTGGTACACACTGAGGGCCACTGAAGTGTGAGCACTGTCATCACCACGGGTCAAGTGCAAAGAGCTTGGATGTGCACATAGCCACCTGCAGTATTTTGTGAGGAGAGGCAAGGATATGCAGGACTCCCACTTCACAGATAAAGCAGCTCTGAGGAGTCTGGCCATGACTCATAATTGACAGAGCTGGTCTTGGCCTCCCACAGTGCTGTCCACCCACTCCTGCAGCCCACCAAGCCCCTCCCCGGGCCACGCAGAGGTCAGAGGGTGGGCATCGTGTCCTGCACAGCTGCCTGGACAGAGTGCCCTTCAGTGGGCAGGGGTGACCTGACTCCTGCAAGGCACACGTCCCTCCCTCGGCCACCAGACCTGCGAGAAGCAGGGCCCCAGCCTCCAGTTAAATGTCCCCTGCCCCTGCTGTTCCCTCTGGCTGGAATGCTATCCCCAGATTCCTCCCTCCTGTATTCTCATGTGTGCTCCAAGTCACCGTCTTGGAGAGGCCACCCCTGTCTGCACTAACACCATCAGGACCCCCCCTCTACCTCCTCCCTGGGTGCCCTTTCCACACGTGTCACCCGACGTGCCACCTCTCTGCCTACGGCTCTCTCTGGCTCCTGGAGGTGCCAATGCCCACGCAGACTGGGGCATGAAGGGCTTCCAGCCCCAGCACCCTGTGCCCACCCCTGCCGGGAACTGCCCCTCAGATGGAGTTCCCGAAGAGCACATTCTCCACTGCCTCCCAAAGCTCTCCACAGGATGGCACTCCAGTCACTCACGCTGGTGACTTATCCACTTTTTGGACTCTCTTCTCACTTCTCCTAAAGGTATTTCTTGAGATCTCTTCCCAGATAGATGGCTCGCACTCAGATCCTTCTCTCAGCATCTGCTTTCCAGAAGAAGCGGAGTGGTCATACCAGTCTATGGAAGCTGTCCCCATTTCCGCAGTTCCTTGATCTTCATAGCGCCACTACAACTTATGACCATACCTTTCGTTTGCACCCTGGTCATTCTGTCTGCCTCCTCCAACAGACGGCAGCACAATGGGCCGACAGACTGGCTTATTCACCGGACTCCCCAGTACCTATCAGTGCATGACACATAGTCTGTAACCAATAAGTAATATGACTAGGGGGGTTATTTATAATATCTTTTATTGTAAATATTACAAGCAAGTACAAACAGATCTTCTGTCCCCCACATACTACCATAAACTAGCTTTACTGGAAACTGTGCCGCGTTTGGAGTTCTCTGACAGCTTGGCACAACCCAGGAAGAAGGAAGTCTGAGGGTCAGAGGATCTCTCTTGGAAAAAAGGGTATTGTGTGGCCAGGATAAGCCACCTTTCCAGGCAGCTGGAAGAAAGGAAAATCCCTGGCCAGGGACTGAGATCAAATATTCAACGCTCCTGAAGAGATGGGAAAAAGGCCATGTGTGGGAGAAGGAGAGTTCTCCTTCAAACTCAGGACTA